CGGTCGATCGATTCGGATCCGGATGGGGCTGGATTCGGATGGGTCCGGTCGATCGATTCGGGTCCGAATGGGGCCCGGTCGATCCATCCGGATCCGGATGGGGCTGGATTTGGATGGGTCCGGACGATCGGCCCGGGTCCGGATGGGGTCCGATCGATCGATTCGGATCCGGATGCGGTCGGATTCGGATGGGTTCGATCGATCGACCCGCATGGGTCCGGTCGATCGATTGGGGTCCGGATGGGGCCCGGTCCATCGATTCGGATCCGAATGGGGCTGGATTCGGATGGGTCCGGTCGATCGATTTGGGTCCGGATGGGATCCGGTCGATCGATTCGGAACCGGATGGGGCCCGGTCGATCGAAATCGGATCCGGATGGGGCTGGATTCGGATGGGTCCGGTCGATCGATTCGGGTCCGGATGGGGTCCGGTCGATCGATGGGGGTCCGGATGGGGCCCGGTCGATCGAAATCGGATCCGGATGGGGCTGGATTCGGATGGGTCCGGTCGGTCGATTTGGGTCCGAATGGGGCCCGGTCGATCCATCCGGATCCGGATGGGGCTGGATTTGGATGGGTCCGGACGATCGGCCCGGGTCCGGATGGGGTCCGATCGATCGATTCGGATCCGGATGCGGTCGGATTCGGATGGGTTCGATCGATCGACCCGCATGGGTCCGGTCGATCGATTGGGGTCCGGATGGGGCCCGGTCCATCGATTCGGATCCGAATGGGGCTGGATTCGGATGGGTCCGGTCGATCGATTTGGGTCCGGATGGGGTCCGGTCGATCGATTCGGATCCGGATGGGGCCCGGTCGATCGAAATCGGATCCGGATGGGGCTGGATTCGGATGGGTCCGGTCGATCGATTCGGGTCCGGATGGGGTCCGGTCGATCGATGGGGGTCCGGATGGGGCCCGGTCGATCGAAATCGGATCCGGATGGGGCTGGATTCGGATGGGTCCGGTCGGTCGATTTGGGTCCGAATGGGGCCCGGTCGATCCATCCGGATCCGGATGGGGCTGGATTTGGATGGGTCCGGACGATCGGCCCGGGTCCGGATGGGGTCCGATCGATCGATTCGGATCCGGATGCGGTCGGATTCGGATGGGTTCGATCGATCGACCCGCATGGGTCCGGTCGATCGATTGGGGTCCGGATGGGGCCCGGTCCATCGATTCGGATCCGAATGGGGCTGGATTCGGATGGGTCCGGTCGATCGATTTGGGTCCGGATGGGGTCCGGTCGATCGATTCGGATCCGGATGGGGCCCGGTCGATCGAAATCGGATCCGGATGGGGCTGGATTCGGATGGGTCCGGTCGATCGATTCGGGTCCGAATGGGGCCCGGTCGATCGACCCGGATCCGGATGGGGCTGGATTCGGATGGGTCCGGACGATCGGCCCGGGTCCGGATGGGGTCCGGTCGATCGATTCGGTTCCGGATGGGGCTGGATTCGGATGGGTTCGACCCATCGATCCGGATGGGGTCGATCGATGGATCCGGATGGTTTCGTTGGTTCGATCCGGATGGGTTGGATCGATGGATCCGGATGGGTTCGGTCAGTCGACCCGGATGGGTTCGATGGTCGGATCCGGACGGGTTCGATCGATGGATCCGGATGGGTTCGATCGGGCGAACCCGATGGGCTTGCCCCTTGGGTGCTCGCCTTGCCTTGTACTGGGTTGTGCGGTGCCCTGGGGGAAAAAAAGGCATCCGATCCATCCGGTCATATCCGGATGCTCGTTGGCTCTAGGGTGGTGTGGTGCCTCGAAAGGGCTCGCACCCGCCCTAGAGCCCTTTTTGCCCGGTTGGAAATCGACTACACCGGAAGGGCTTGTGGGCTCTAGGGCGGTGCCGTGCCTCGAAAGGGCTCGCACCCGCCCTAGAGCCCTTTTTGCCCGGTTGGAAATCGACTACACCGGAAGGGCTTGTGGGCTCTAGGGCGGTGTCGTGCCTCGAAAGGGCTCACACCCGCCCTGGAGCCCTTTTTGCCCGGTTGGAAATCGACTACACCGGAAGGGCTTGTGGGCTCTAGGGCGGTGTCGTGCCTCGAAAGGGCTCCCACCCGCCCTGGAGCCCTTTTTGCCCGGTTGGAAATCGACTACACCGGAAGGGCTTGTGGGCTCTAGGGCGGTGTCGTGCCTCGAAAGGGCTCACACCCGCCCTAGAGCCCTTTTTGCCCGGTTGGAAATCGACTGCACCGGAAGGGCTTGTGGGCTCTAGGGCGGTGTCGTGCCTCGAAAGGGCTCACACCCGCCCTAGAGCCCTTTTTGCCCGGTTGGAAATCGACTGCACCGGAAGGGCTTGTGGGCTCTAGGGCGGTGTCGTGCCTCGAAAGGGCTCACACCCGCCCTGGAGCCCTTTTTTTCCCGGTTGGAAATCGACTACACCGGAAGGGCTTGTCGGCTCTAGGGTGTTGTCGTGCCTTGAAAGGGATCACACCCGCCCTGGAGCCCTTTTTGCCCGGTTGGAATTCGATTACACGGGAAGCCTGT